GGAGCGCTGGTGGCCGGCTGTCCCTCCGTGACGGCAGCTCCGTGACCCCCGTTGGCGTCTGGTGCTTTTGTGAGTCAGCCTTGCTCGATCCCGCCGGCGCATAGGGCATCATGTCCTTCATTAGTCTGGGTTGTTTTCTTTTTTTCTTTCTTTGAGGATTTTTAATAGGAAAAAAAATGGGGGTAGGGAGAGACGTGGCAGGGGAAAGAGAAACCAGCTGCTGTGGTTTGATCTAGAATGTTCTCTGGCTTTGCAGGTCTCTGTCATTCTGACCAAAGGACACATGCTTTCCAGGGACTTGGGTGGGACTCAGGCTCTACAGAAGCCCCCCCCACCCCATTTCCTGGCCCCGTAGAAGACCCCATTGAAATCACTGCAACAAGGGACTTTCCTTTCATACTGTTTGGCCCTGTTTGAGTTCTTGTCTGACTTGAACGGTTCTTAGAAGTCCCACCAGTCCCCCCGCTTCCTCCTGTGGATCGGCTCAGGCCGGCGCGTGATGTTGCCTCCGCTGCTGGGGGCTGTGACGGGCACAGCGTCCGCCCATACGGGCCCGTCTGGGTTTGTAGCTTTCAGTGGGCACCTGCGTCCCCTCTGCCCCCCAGCCTGCCCTCCCCCAGCAGCTGAGGGCCCAATCAGCATGCTTCTGAGCCCTGGTCCCGCCCTGCCCTTGACCCTTCAGAGGCCCCTTGCTGGTCTCGGGAGGAACAGGGCTCTGAGCTCCAGCGCCTGCCCCAGCCCCTTGCTCTGCTCAAGTCCTTGGGGGCTCCGTGGCCTCCATTCCCGCCCAGGCCTTCCACATGCCCCATCCGCCACTCACCTTTACTGCTCTCCTACTTGGCCTTCAAATCCCAGCTCACGGTCCCCCTCCTCCAGGAAGCCCTCCCTGACCTGGTGGTGGCCCCTGGGGATGCACCCTCAGCAACTGTTAGAACCAGCGGCGTTGTGGTGAAGGCCCGTCTTGCTCTCCGAGCCTCCCAGGGGCAAGTGCTGGGCCTTCTTCTCTCCCGCGCCCCCAACACCAGTACAGGCCTGACTCTGTGGGGCACGCGTGTGAGTGGCTTAAAGCCGGGCCCTTTCCCGTCTCTGGTCTCAGCGTTCCCACCTGTCACGGTGAGCTGGGTGCGCTGCCCGTCAGCCATGTGGCCTCCCGTGGATCGCTGCGGGTCGCCGCATGTGGATGCTGGGCACTCCCTGGCCACCAGCTGTTGGCCGAGCTGCTGGAGTTACAGTGTGAAGTTCCTGGGGCTGGTGGAGGGCGGGAAAGACAGGCTCAGAGCCGAGGACACACCTGAGAGCCTCCGGCCTGTCTGCCGGGCTTCACGGCCAGCTGTCCACAGGAAAACGGCCGGGGAGCGCCAGGGGTGACCCGTCCCATGGGGTGCACGCCGGGGGCCCAGGGTCAGGCACCCCCTCTCCAGAGAGCCCCAAGCCTGTGGGACTTCCCGCCCCAGAGGCGGGTCCAGGAGCTGAGCCTTGACTGCACATCCTCGCGGGCATTTTGTATTCTCTGTCCCTGAGAAGCCCCCCAGCCTCATAAGCTTCGGGGCCCACAGGGTAGCCTCATCAGGGCTGGGGTGCAGGGGGACCCCTGATTCGGCAGGGCCTGGTGGGCCTGAGAGTTTGCGTTTCTGTGGGGCCCCAGGCAGGCAGCTCACCCTCCGGCGGGCGTGTCCCGTCCTGGCCGGGGTGGGGGGGGCGGGCACGGGGTGGCGGGCGAGTGGTCCCTTTGGACGGGCGTGCTGAGGGCCGTCCGACTTGGCACCTCTCGGCGCTCAGCTGGTCGGCTGCCTGGGGCGGCAGCAAACGCGGGGGCCTCCCAGGCTGTGGCCCGAGGCCCCTGCACCAACGGCGAGGTTGCTCAGTGCCGTCTGCGCTGGAGGGCGTGTGGGAGCGGCTCCGGCCCGAGCACTGCCCTCAGCGCGGTTGCCCATGTGGTTCCCGAAATAAAGCAGCCGCAGGGTTCTGCCAAGAAGGGACGTTCCGGTGGCAGTTGGAAGGATGGGCCCCGGGACTGCAGCCCAGGGTCGCCAGAGCCCGGAACCAAGGCCTCCCTGTCTGTCCTTCCTGACGCCCCCTCCCTGCCCAACCTTGGCTGGGGGGGGCCTGAGCCCTGGGAGTAGGGGTCAGCTCTGTGCCTAGAGTTCCGCGGGCCCCGGGAGGGACCAGGCCGGCTCGCGGCCACAGCCCCCTTCCCCACGGTGGGCGGGGCTGCCGAGCAGGGCGGTGAGCGCCCAGCTTGTGGGTCCTCCGGGGCCTCCTGCGGGCCGGCTGGTGCTGGCAGCATGGCTGGGGTCCACGGGGGGCCTGGTGACCAGCCCAAGTGTCTGGGAAGGCAGAGGGCTGACTTCAAGCCCAGGCCTGGAACTGCCCCTCCGGGGCTCTCTGGGCGGGTCTCCGGTCTCCTCCCAGGGCAGCCCCACCTGCCTGGCGCCCCCGAAGGACACTGGAGGCTCAGCGTGGCCTTTTCTGAGCTGGGCTTCTGTGACTCTGCAGGTTGGTGGGGCCTGAGAACCCGCATTTCCGACCAGCTCCCGGGTGGTACTGTGGCTGCGCTCTCACCTGAAAACCCTCGGGCGCGTACTGGGTCCCTGCCAGCTTCTCTCCCCTTCCCTCCCCTCCTCTCTCCTACCCTCCCTGGCACCAGCCCTGACCCTGCTCCTTCCCAGCCCAGCCCGGAAACCATCCCCCCGCTTATAGTTTATCAGAGCCACGGACTGGTGGTGAGGAAGTCACGTGGGTTTGCAAGAGCTGCCACCTCTGTTCAGCGGCATCGACTGAAGGGGCAGGGCAGGTGGGCGAGGCTGGGGCACCGGCCGGTGGTCCTGCTCGGGAGGCCCTGAGCACCCCTGGGCTGCAGGACGGCACATCGTGGGCAGACGTGCAGAGCAGGCCAGGAGTGGGCCTATCGGGCTTGGACGCTGGCTCGGCTTCCTCTGGGCCTTGGTTTCTTCTGTGAGGGGGATGGGCGCTGGGCTGCAGGGCGTGGGGAGCCTTGGGTCCCGGGGCTGGACATCGGGCAGGCGGTGTGGCCGCTCTCCCCCTCCTGAGGCCACTCTCCCGGTGTCTGCTCTCTGGGGGGGACCTTGACAACCAGGTCTTCACTGCATCACATCCTCCCAAACGTGGTCACACGCACCACTACCCAGGTTAGGACCCAGCACGTCTCTTGGGGACACAACTCAGCCCTTAGCTTATGCACATGTCCTCTGAGAGGCTGAGAGCCTCCCAGGCCCGAGAAAGACAAAAGCTGCTTGGTGTCCGTGCCTCTCGGTGGCTGCCGGAACACAGCTTTGTCACACGGGGTCTGAGAGCGGACCCCGCTTCCCCGGTGCCTCACTGGGCACACACGCCTTCATTCCGGGTGCCGGCGAGCGCGCCTCCGTACCACAGTCTGTTCCCGCCGCCGCCACCGTCCTCCAGGGCCGGGGACACAGCCGCGAGTGGGATGGGGCAAGACCTCGAACCAGGGGCACCTGGCAGGCCGGATGACGGACCACACGGCACGTGGTCACGGGAGGGGGCCAAGGTCGGAAGGCAGAGGGTGGCTGCCGGGGGCCGGGGAGGGCTCAGCGGGCGGGGTGACTGCTGATGGGGGCGGGGGTTTGGAGGAGATGGGGATGTCCAAGAATTTGTGGTGATGGTCGCACAGCTCTGTGGATGTGCTAAAAGGCCCCTCGTTGTGAAAGGGTGAACCGTGTGCCATGTGGTGGGAGAGACAGGGAACAGGCAGCGGCGTCTGGACGCCATCTCCGATGTCACCTGTCCGCGGTCGCCTCTTGGGAACCCTGGGCTCCACCTGGCAGGCTGCTGGGAAGGAAGACAGTGTAAGCTCCAGGGCAGGGCTGGTGTCCTCTCTGTCCACACGGGGACGTCCTGGGCGGGAGGGGAAGGCGCGGCACAGGGCAGGTACCCTGGTGTCACGGAGGCATCCTCCGCACTGAGGTCTGAGTCCCCGAGGGCCGCCCTGGGACTCTGTGGGGCCTGGGCAGCTCAGAACCTCGTAACACCTGACGTGTTCGGAGCCTGCCTTCCTCAATGTGCCCAAAGCAGGTCTCCACTTGTGAAAAGACGAGCCCATGTGTGGCCCAAGAAATGCGTGTGTCTCCCCACCGCTTCCATCCACAGCCCTACAGTGGCGCCCCCGGGACGTGCCCCGGCCTGACGTACTGTCCCAGGGCGGCTCTAACCAAGGCCCAAACAACAGAAGTGTGTCTCCAGCTCTGGCAGCCGGAGTCTGAATCCTGGAGTCACAGGGCCACGCTCCCTCTGAAGGCTGAAGGGGTGGGGGGGTCCTTTTGCCTCTTCCAGCATCTGCTGGCCCCATTCGTCCGTCTCCGCCTCTGTCCTCACGTGGCCTCCTCCACTGTGGGTCAGGGCCCCTCTTCTTATAGGGACACCAGTCATGGGACTCAGGGCCTCTCTAATCCAGTAGGACCTTGTGTGAGCTAAATACATCTGCAAAGACCTTTTTTCCAGATAAGGTCACATTCATCAGCGCCGGATGGATGTGAATTCAGGAGGGGGGGATGCTGTTCATCCCCTCCAAGCCCCTTCCCAAAGCAGATGCACTAGGAAGGTGGCGGCCTGAGTCACTTATCAGAGACTCCTGGCACCTTTTTGAGCTGGAGAACTAGGATCATTAGGCCAGATCATTGAAGCGTGTGGAAGCCCGTATTTCTGTGCCTCAGTGTCCCCGTCTGTTCTGGATGTGAAAATGAGCCCTCTGGAACACAAGGCAGGTGTCCTGTTGCAATGTGTAAGACCCCTGACCCCTGTCCAGGGCGCCAGCCAGGAGGGGACGGGCTAAGGGCTGGCCCCCTTGGCCCACCTCTGTGTACCCACATGAACCTCCCCCGGGCACCCCTAGCCCCCACCGAGGCCCACTTTAGTTCCTCAGTTACCAGCGCTGGGGACAGCTGCGTGCCCCATGGCGACATCCTAGGGGGACCTGAGATAGGGCATGGGGGCCTTCATTGCAGGAAGACTTGCCCTCAAGGAGTAACAAGGAACAGTGAAGAAAACCACATTCTGGCTTGGGTGGGGAGGGTCTGGCACGGCTGGAGACCCACGAGCTGGGAAGCCCATCCTGGGTCACACGCCCCCACCTCTCTGGGTCTGGGATGGTGCTGGGGGCAGGATGCCCTCAATCCAGGGTGTGGGAGCGGGCCGCTGGCTGGCTGTGCGGTCTGGATCAGGTACACGGGGGACAGAAGGTGGGGACCATCCGCGAAGGAGGACTGGATGTAGAACAGCCATAGGCGGGGGGTGGGGAGGCAGGGGAGTGGGCCGAGGTCAGGGAGCAGAGTCTAGGGTCTCCAGCTTTTGGCACAGTGGTTCTCAGAGCAAGGTCCCTGGACCACCAGCAGCATCACCTGGGAGATTTCCAGGGCAGCCAGGACATCCGGTGGTGCCACACCTCGCAAAGCCCCTATTTCCCAGGAAGGTCGCAGTCCCAGATTCCAGGTGGGCAGGGGCGAGAGGGGGTCACCAGTCCAATACAGGTGCCACAGTGGAAGTGGGGGGTGGGCACGGGCAGGTCACCCCACGTCCTTTCGTGGGCCTCTGCTGCCCCTGGTCTGTGTGCGGGAGGGAGCCTGGGGCAGTCGGGGTGGGGGGCGCTGCTTCCTGCCCACCGTTCCGCTGCGTCCCCGCGCCGGTTGGGGGGGGCCGGGGGTCTCACCCGGAGAGCTTGACTGCCGGCCCGGCTGTGAGTCTCAGGCAACGTCAGCCCTCGTGATGTGCTGGGAGGTTTTTTCTCTATTAAATGCGCTCTTCTTGATTCAATTTTATTTTCGGGTTGGCACAGCGCATTCTCTTTCTCTATGTGTGAACGTATGTATGTAAATACACGTACGATGTTGGTGAATTAACGTTTGTGGTATTTTTACTAAGCGAAGGTGTGGAAACCAAACAGCCGCCCCTCCAGGGGTGGGCACGCCCTGCTCTCCGGGAGCGTGTCCACCATGGGAGGGTCCCATGGGGGGCAGGGGGCGCACACCCCACCGTGCGGCCTGGAGGACAGCCGCAGAGTCTCCAGGCTCAAGGCCGGGCGCCCGTGGGGAGTGTGAAGGTGGGGACCAGGCTCTTGCCGTCCGTCGGGGCCCAGACCACACCAGTGAGGCGCAGACGTTGCCCAGGGATACGGTGTCCCGTGGACCCTCCCTGGCAGCAGCTGTCTCCCCCGGAGAAGGCGGGGGTGGGGAAGGGGGTTGGGACCCTGGGACTTTGTTTACAGGGATTTAGGACAGAAACAGACGGGAGCCTTTTAGGGAGGTTCCCCTGTGGGAGAGGGTGCCATGGTCAAGCCACATGTCTGGTGGGGCCGGAGGACCTGGAGGGCGTGGCTCCCACGTGTGTGCAGAAATGCTTCCACACGATGCCCGCTAGCCCGACATGGGGGGGATTTAAGCGGAGGCCTGCGAGGTGGGCTCTTGTATGACAAACGCGCACTCACGTTGCTCCCGAACGAGGAAACCTCAAAGTCGCTGCTTTAACCAACACAGAACGTCCCTCATCTCTTCCTGCAACTTCATCCTGCGAGCAGCCTCGTCTGATCCGGTGCGCTTGGCTGGCTGACGATCCAAACACTCTAGCCGCTCCTCCTCAACAACCATCCGTAGCTGCCCGTTACCCACCATGGCATTTCCTCTACTGGCCGCTCTGTGCCACCCGGCTCTGGCGGGTGGCCTGTCCCGTCTCTTGGTCCAGAGCCGATGGGGCTCCACGTTTGCTCATATTCACCTGGTCGGCGTTAACTGTCAGGAACGTTCTCGGGGAGGGGTCTGCGCCGGGGGTGTGTGCCTGCCCTAAGCCATCCAAGTTCAACTTGGAGAAGGAACCACCGCCTAAGAGCGCTGGGCCCTGTCCCAGACCGTCGACGCTGGTCTTCGGGTCGTTTTCCCTGGACTCACCATGCACGGCCCCAGCAGCCTGCATCGAGGGTCTTCTGTGAGGCTGTGGAGGTTCTTCCAGGTCGAGCGCCTGGCCGTCCCTCTCCCGAGCCCCGGGTTTGTCTCACGGGTGTCCTGAATGGCATCCGGGACGTTCCCCTGCTTGGCCTGGCCTCCAGGGAGCTCGAGCCCCCGGCACCCTGTGTGTGAGACGCTCAGCTCAGCTGCCGTCCTGCGTCTGGTCTGCTGAACAAGCCCACGGGGCAGCCGCTCACTGGAGGGCGTTGGCCAGCTGAGGACCCTCGGTCCCAGGATGGGTGGTGCCAGTGTTGGAAGCAGCAGCCGCGCGCGGTCGGGCCCGTGACCAGGGCGGGTGCTTCGTCAACCCCAGATGGTCTCGGAGAAGCCCCCACGCTGGGGCAGGGTGGCAGTGGGGAGGGACTGCTCACGGGGACGGGCCTCCTTCGGGGTGATGGAAACGTCCTGGAACCAGACGGAAATACCTGTTGCACAGCCTGGAGGACATGCTTGGTCAGAGTCGGAGCAGGCCCACTGACGGAGAGGGCTGTGGGGAGGGCTCGGGCACAGGGGTCACTGGAGATAAAGGGTGTGGGGTCTTGGGGCACTGAAGGCGTTCTAGGAGGAGAGTTTTTCAGGAGGGGAACCTGAAAACCACTGCAGTGTGGACCTTAAACGGGTGAACTGTATGGCATGGGAGGTACAGCTTGAGAAAATGGTCATGAGGGCAAACCGAACCAACCTACAGAACATTCTGGGGAAATCCGTGTCGTCTCCCCAGAGCCATGTGCAGCCGCTGCCCTGGTCCGGGCGCACGTCGAGAACGCGCCGTCCGCAAGAGCACCCCTCCTCCCTGGGCCGGGCTGCCCGGCTGGGCCTCCTTTGTCCCTCTGTCAGGCCGCGTGTCTGAGCTCCGGGGCGCCACGGTCCGGTGAAGGCCATGGATGCGGCTGGGGCAGAACGCCGTGCGGGGCACTTGGGAGCGAATGTCAGGGGCCAGGGCTGCAGCCCAGAGGCTGGGCAGGGTGTGGCAGAAGCGGCTCCCCCGGGGCTCCTGGCAGCCCCCGGCACTCGGGGAGGGGGCCCCAGGCAGCCGTGACCGTTTGTCAAGTGACGTATCATTGGTGACAGGCTGCCGCTCTCAGGGACAGGCCACGGCGCGTTGGTGTCTCGGGCTGGGACGCACTGCTCTGGAGCCAGGAAGCCAGGCCGGTGAAAGGCACGGACGCCTGGGGCTGTCCTGCGTCGGGCACCCCGTCTAGCCCTGTCAGAGGAGGGGTGTCTCGTGGGGGCCTCGGCACGGAGGCACCATGGGGGTGGTCCTGCTGGCAGCGTCCTCACTGGGGTGTGGCATCCTCCGGGCAGGGCTGTGGGCACGTGCCTCCAACGTCAGGCCTGAGCTTAGGGACTTCAGGCCCCATGCAGGTCACTGGGGCCAGAGTCTGTGGGACCAAGGGGGGAAACTAAGTCACCGAGAAGCACGTTAACCCCCGGAAGGGCCGTGCCTGGGCTGCATGGGGCGGACACCTCAGGCTAAGAGTGCAGGGACCTGGGCTGAGCCCGTGGGACACGGACGTGATTTCTCTCAGCACCTGGAGACCCTGCCTCATGCAGACTTGGAGAAATCTCTCCCCACTCCGCGCTGGTCTCCCCTACACATACGGGGCTAGTGCGAGCAGCTTCCAGAGGGGCCAGGGGCCAGCCCCAGTCCATCAGCCCCCGCACACCCCAGCCTCCTTTCCCGGAGCCCTGAAGGCGCCACGTGAGGGGCAGCGGGGCAGACGGACTTGGAGACCCCTCTGGCGGCTGCTGGGCTGGTGCTGCCCTGGGAGGCAGGTGTGGCTCGGACACGGTGTCCAGCACGGCCAGCTGGTGCCCACCCTGGGCCTGGAGCCAAGCCTCAACCCGGGGAAGGGAAGTTTGGTTCCTTCTGCTCTTGGACCTTCTGACAGCCGACTGGTCCAGGCATCACAGCTGCCCCCCAACTCCTCCTTTCTGGGCAGACCAGCATGGATCAAGCTCCTGCTTGTGTCTGGAGGCTCAGAGATGAGATGGCTGTGTGCTTTGTCCTCTAGCACGTGGACACGACCCCGGGCAGGAGGGAGGCTCCTTCAGCAGGACCTGGTGCCCGCCCGGGCTGAGAGCCGTCCTTCAGGCACAGACATCCCTCCTAGGCCAGATTCTGGCCTCGCTGGGGTGTGCCCTGGCCCGGAGGCTCTGGCAGGCACGCGGGCCTGCTATGGGGGGGTGGTATGGTGGCTGGATGAATACACGCATGCGTGAGGGCTGGAGGCCACTGACCCTCCGCCTTACTGCCAGAGCCCTGACCGGCCCTCCCCCTCTCCCCCTGCCAGGACCTCCCACTCCCGGGCCAAGGCTGAGGCCGCCCTCACTGCAGCACAGAAGGCCCAGGAGGAAGCCCGCATCGCCAGGATCACTGCCAAAGAGTTCTCGCCTTCCTTCCAGCACCGCGAAAATGGTGAGTGCGCATCCCCCCGGGGGCGTCCGTGCGCGGGGCTGCGGCCCACAGCTTCTGCGTCCGCATCCCGGCGCACTCCTGCTCTCTGCCGTCCGCGCGCTCTCCCTGCCCTTCCTGCTCCTGGGGTTCTAGACCTTTCTTGTGGAACTACTCTGTCCAGTTGGGGGACTATCAGGCCAGCTGCGGACCGAGGCTTCAGTCTACACCGTGGGAACCGTCGCAGGGGACTCGTGGGCGCTGGCCGGTGGGAAAGCGCAGCTCTCGCATGGGGAGGAGCTGGAAGCCACTGCACGGCAGCCAGATGCGTGGCCCTCCTCCGTCCCTTGGGGAGGCCGGGCCACAGCCGTGTCTAGCCCGGTGAGCCTAGACGCAGCTCGGGGCCAGGAGGCGGCCTGGAGCTGGGGTCAGTGATGGGGCTGCTGAGCCCTCAGGCTGGACTAGCTGCCCCATCTCCCGCTCCCCCTGCCCCCAGAAGCTTCCTCCACCCCTGGAAGCTCCAGAGCCACAGCAGGTTAGGACCCGGGAGTGAGCGGAAGCCGCTATTCCCAGACCACCCCAAGCTCTCCTGGAGCCCATGGCTCTAGGCCTTCCTGGGAGCGGGTCTGGCCTTCTGGGCAGCCCAGAGAGACCAGACCTGCTTCCGGGAGGCAGTAGGGCCTGAGTGGCCTCGGCCCCCCCAGGACCCACGACGGAGCACAGGTGGGAGGAGTCCAGGTGCCAACACTGCACCATCTACCCTGGTTGTGAGAGGGACGCCTCCAGGAAGGGCTGGTGCTCTGGAACCAGCTCGCGGCTGGCAGCACGGGCCTCTCCCGGTGCACGGGGTTCACAAGGCAGCCGGACCAGCAGCCTCCTGGCCTGCCCACGGGCATGGTGTCCGGGCTCCCCGGGCCCCGAGGACGTCCCCGGCACAAGCAGGCCAGGTCAGGGCCGTGATCCCTGGCCTCCTGTGGTAGGGCACCCAGTGCTTCAGACCCCCTGTGCTTGAAGGGGTGCACTGCTGTCCCCACCCCCCTGGCCTCACGTGCCAGCTGGGGTGTGCATGGATTTGGGGAGTGGAGGGGGTTGACCACTTAGGCCAGCACTCACAGGTCCGAGATCCCTACCCCTCAGGACCCCAGGGGGCCTCCCTTGGTCACCCCTCCGTGGACCAGCCATGACGACTGTTCGGTGTCCAAAGCTCAGCCTCGTGCCGCTCACTGCCCCATGTCCAAAGCCCCAGAGGCAAGAGCGGGAGCCTCGGGCCTCCACGTGTGCAGCAGAAACAGCATGGCGCACTTCTCCTCCTGCATAAGTGGAGGGCTGGGCCCGGCCCCTGCCAGCCCATGGAGGCCATGGCTCCTGTGGCCCTTCCTGCCCCAGCAGAGAAGTGGAGAGGAGAGACCACTCCTGTCCTCACACACTGCACCCTGTAGAAGGCCACCTAATGCAAGAGGCTTCTTTCCACCTTACAGAGGAACCTGGGGTGGGGGGCAGGGGATCTGAGAGCACGGAGCAGGCCGGCCCCTCCGCTTGTATGCTGAGCCTTGGGGCTCTTGTGTAGCCGGGGTGGGGGGCGGCGTGGCCCAGAGCTTCTGTCCATCGCTGCACCCTCGGGACCTGGTCACCCCCCAAATGCTTGTCGGGTGGGGGGCTTGGGGTTCTACAAAAGGGCTCTGGGAACCACTGTGCCCGCACCCCACTGGCGAATGGCGCGTGCCCTAGCCCTGGCCGCTGCCCCACATGGCCCAGGTCCAGTCCTGGTCTCCCGCGGTCTTCTGGTGAGATCAGGCCTCACGAGACACAGAGGGTCTGAGTAACCCAACCTCTGTGCTTCCTGCCCCTCCATAAAGGGCTCGAGTACCAGCGGCCGAAGCACCCGATTTCCAGCAGTGACATCGAGGTGGCCTCCACGGGGACGCCCCTGCAGCAGGAGAGCCCCGAGCTGTACCGCAAAGGCACCACCCCCTCGGACCTGACCCCCGACGACAGCCCCCTGCAGAGCTTCCCCGCCAGTCCCACGGCCACCCCGCCCCCGGCCCCTGCCTCACGGAACAAGGTTGCCCACTTCTCCCGGCAGGTCTCGGTGGACGAGGAGCGAGGCGGGGACATCCAGATGCTCCTGGAGGGCCGGGGAGGGGACTATGCCCGCAACAGCTGGGGTGAGGAGAAGGCCGGTGGCCCCAGGGGCATCCGCGGCAGCGCCCTCTGGAGCGGTCAGCCCGCGGAAGACTTCCGCTGCCGGGGCTCTGGCCACAAGCAGCCCAGCAACCCCAAGTCCCGGGAGCGGCGGACGGAGTCGCCCCCTACGTTCTCCTGGACTTCCCACCACCGGGCAGGCAATCCCAGCTCCGGGGGCACCAAGCTGCTGGAGCTGGATGAGGAGAAGCTGAGCAACTACGAGATGGAGATGAAGCCTCTGCTGAGGATGGACGCGTACGTGCAGGAGGCCCACCCCCAGAAGAGACGCTATAGCAAGGGGGTGGCCTGCCGGGGCCTGGGGGAGGACCACCGCGCCGACGACCGGGGCTTCGGGGCACAGAGACTGCGGTCCAAGTCCCAGCACAAGGACAGCGCCAGGCCGGCCCCCTGCACGGAGCCCGCAGTACAGAGGCTGGAGAGCCTGCGGCTGGGGGACCGGGCTGAGCCCCGGCTGCTGCGCTGGGACTTGGCCTTCTCCCCGCCCCAGAAGTCCTCACCCGTCGCACCCGAGTCGGACGAGGAGAACGGGGACGAGCTCAAGTCCAGCACGGTGAGTGGTCGCCGGCCACTGGCGATGGGGGCAGGCAGTGCCCTGCCACCTTCAGCTGAGGGGTGGCTCTGCGCACAGGGGTGGCGGTTCCTTCCCCAGGAAAGGGACCCTCCACACAGGAAGTCTCTGCGGGCGACGGGGTCCCACTTTCCTTTAGAGCCCAGAGAGGGTTACTCCTCCCAGGCTCGATCCTAGCAGCGAAGCTCCCAAAAGAAACTGGGCCGTAGCGGGAGCCCGTCTCTCCCCCTGGCCCGGGAGGGTACTCCCCTGCTCTGGTGAGGAGCCCTTGCTATCACTGGGTTCATGGACGGTCCCGGGTCCTGGGGTCAGGGTCAGCCAGAGCCGCTGGGGCATGGGGCCGGGGACTGGCTCAGGACTGTTGTGCCCAGGCCACACCTTTTACATGGGGCCAGGCGCTGGGGTCCTCCCACGAAGCCCACTCTCAGGGGCAAGATGGACAGGATAAAACTTTGTGAAGGCCGTCCACGCCAAGGCTCCCCTCCCTCCCAGAGCTCTAGTTCTTCCCACGTAGCCTGAGGATGCTTGCTCTCTGGCTCACCCACCTCGGGATCTGCCACGTGGGTTGCGGCTGCGATCCAGGTCACCATGGCCAGTGGGGGACACTGGGGCTCACTCCTGGGTCCTTGTATGAGCATGCCTCCCACGGCAGGCAGTTTGAAGGATAACGGAGGCCCCTGGGCTGGATGGTGTGGGGCCAGGTGGGTTCTCACACACAGGAGGGACCTTCGGGGACCCTCCACCTGGAGGCTGCCTCCCAGGGGCAGACATGTCCTGTGCCCCTGGTCAGACAGCTTCTCCGCCCCACCCCGGGGCTCATGCCCCCATACGCTCCACTCTGGAACCTGCAGCATCAGCCCACAAGGGCCTGTTCCCCTGCTGCTGGAGTGCCTTGTACCTGCTCCATGGGGCACGCAGAGCCTCGGACACCTCTGGGACCCAGCAGTGTGGCCAGGCAGGGTCGGTGTCCATGCCTGTCCCCTGGAGGAACGCATTGTCTGGCAGGTCAGGGCCCTGTGCTCCTTGGAAGAGATGCTTTCGGGGGCAGGTGCCTTCCCCCTGAAACCACTGTGAGCATCTTCTGGGTGGGCTGGTTCCTAAATGCTCCTGCTTCCCTGTGCCCAGATCCCACTGGAGCTCGGCCCTATGAGCGCCCGCTGGGGGAAGACTGGCTTGTACTCACAGCTCTGATCCCTGTCCCAGCAGCCAGAAAC